ATATGTTTATATATTTATATGCATGATATATAATAATTTAGAAAAATTACTGTTCATTCATATTCGTACGATATGATTGGCTTATAATGTATTGATTTGATTTCGTAAATTAAGTTTATGTTAAGCATACTTATTGATTGATTTACTCAAAAACAAAATTTTTTTTTTTAGAATTGTGAACACGTTTTGTTAAGCACTTTATTTATTAATTTATCAAATATTATTCACTCACTACGTTTGGGACTTTACTATATTATTTTGCATATATTTTGCAGTACAGATAATTGAATTGGTTTATTGCGTCCGTTCGGTTTCTTTGCACCTTTTGATATCGTTAACACAGTCTTTGCGAATTTGTATATTTTAAAAGTAAAAGGCTTCGAGTGTGCAACTGGAAATAATTAGAATTCGGTTTCAGCTCGACTTCTATTAAATTGTAGCTTTATTTTGAAATATTACGCATACGCCACGTGGCACCAATCGCTGCTCGATTGGGACTGAATGTGCTCTGCCAAAGTTTCCTTTTTGCCGAAAAACTTCGAGTTCTGGGGCGAGCTCTTCTGCAAAATGTACTTCCAACTGTTACTTTCGGCGGCTCTGCTCAATTTGTTGTTGGTCTATTTCAGGAAAAATCATTATGCTGAACCGAAAAACAGCAAATGCCAAAAGTGCATGAGCATATAAGGCTGGCTGGCTCGCTCAGGAGGGAAACTAAATAGACGGATAGAAAAAGAAGGGGGCAGCAACCACGTGAAAAAATGCCGGAAACAGAAATCGATTTGCACCAAGTGAACATATGTGTGTGTGCTGGAATAATAGAAGAGTGAGGCAGAGGCAGAAGCAGAGGCAGAGAACAGGCAATGGCTCGTATTGGGGAAACAGAGTTAATTTAGTTGAGTCTGTTTCCCCAATTTGTTTATAACTATTGACCAAGCGAGGCTCTGTTTAATTTCTAGTAAACTTTACACACACACATACACACACTCACTCACGCACACACACACAAGCAGAAACACCGAAATTATGTCACACACACGCTGAACACGAAAGTAGGCAACGATTACGTTTTGTAGCTCGAAAAACATGCGACAAACTCTTCTTTTTTCTTATGAGCTTCGACAATATTTTTATACGACTTCCAACTAAATTACGGCAACAATAAAAAAATGTAAGAATTTATCAAGTTAATTTGCTGCTCAAATTTGCTTTTGTTGCTCAGCGTCTTTACCCGTCGCTGCTGCTGTTGCTGCTGCTGCTGCACGACGCGCTGAAAATTCACGTAACAATTGATTTGTGTGTCAAAAATGTCACAAGTGTCAAAAATTGTATGGAAACACTGCGTTGCTCTTGAGAGAGAGAGCGAGCGAGAGAGAGGGAATGAGAGACATGCTAAGTGCCAATAAGAGAGGCAGAGAGCAGCACATGATTACACGTGCACAGCCCAAAGAGAACGACTACGAGAGAGAGTGGCCGTGAGAGTGAGAGAGAGAGAGAATTGCTGCTGCGCGTCAGTTTGGGACTCAAAAGAGATGTATATCCTTGTGTAAAGAGCACTGCTTAGAGAGCTTTAAAGCTCTGTTTGCTTGTGATTTCATTTCAAATGTAACAGTCAGTTTCAGCCAGAGGCTAAGCTGATCTCAGCCATCAGATGACAAAGCTTATTAAGAGAGATGGCTAATTATGAATTTGAGTTTTATGTAATCTGAACTGAAACGAGTTCCATAGATAAGAAGAGGAAGAATTATGTAAGAGCTGATGAATTTCTATGAATGAAGGAGTATTTCGACACGTCTTATGTAGGGTAATGCGATAGTTTGACGATTTGATGCAGAAGTTCTAGTTATGCTTCAATTAATAACGTTAACAGAAAGAGCTTTTCCATGGATATATGACAGACTTTGAATTAGTGTTTTCTATAAATCTTAAAAGCATGTGCCAGTCAATAGTCAATTATTCCAGGAAATTGAGCTGGTGAGAATTTTACTACCATCAGTATATATATATTTATATGTATATTCTATTATTGTACATTCCTGTATCTCCCAATTGGGAACTTTAGAGTAAAGCGTATATACCCATAATGACATTTATATATGGTATCTGATACATCCACTGAAATGTTTCGAACAAAGCAAAGTAAACAACGGTGGTTATAAAATAAATAAATTGTTTGATGCACTGATAGCATGTGATATTATTTCTGGAAACGTCCACACAAGTTTTTAAAGTAAATAATCGCCAATGATGCAGTAACTGCAAGTCCATCAAATTCTTAGCTTAATACAACAAACTTGAGCATTTCATTTTGGCCACCATTTGCACTAATCTGCAGCAGATTACAGCCCTTCCTTGCTAAGCAGTCTTGACTGTATTCATAAGCACGGCATGATTCACTTCCTCGACGATCCCCTCAAATCAAAGGCAACTACAGACCCTAGCTGGCGAAAAGGGTTCACTTTCAACAGTTGCTTGGTGCAACCGTTTGTCTAAATGGCTTAAAGGGCTTAAGAGGCTCATGTCCTGTGGAACATGAATACGCTGCACGAGAAAGGGAAGTAGTTTGCAACGCCCCAATGCAGCAACCCCTTCCGCCCTACCCCTAGCTCCCGTCCCACACACTAATTGTTTACAGCTAGTCTAGTCATTACCGAGAAGTCTGGTCAGCAAGGTGTTCACCAAACACACACACACACACACACACACACACACACACACACACTCACAGGCACACACTCATACGTAGGTGAGCACACACAAGTCCAGAGGATTGTCTATTAGTTAGTCATAATTTGATTGTTTAAGTGAATTTGCATTGGACTTTGATGAGCCGTGACTAATTTAATTGGACTGACGCTGCTCCCACTGAATGCGCACAGAAAATGTTATTAATTAATTAAGCTCGGGGTGACCGTRGAAATTGTTAGTGTTAAGTGATACGAATATACACGCGAGACGGCGAGACATTCACATATTCGCATTCGATTCTCGACTCGACTTTGACTCGCGGCTGCGGTTTTTGTTGTGAACCCCACTAAATGCGATGCAAAACTGGCCGACCAGGCAGAGCCGGGCGCTGGCGTTGGTTTCTTATAGGAAGAGACCCACACTAAGCGAGAGAGTGTGACGGAGCGAGAGAGAGGCAGCGATGCAGCGAGGCAGCGAGGCAGTGAGACGGAGAGGCAGAGACACAGCGAGAGCGCGTACAGTGGGGCAGCAGGAGACGGCAGCAGAAGCATACGCAGCAGGAGAGGGCGGCGCAAGCGGAGACGGACACAGAGACCGGCCAGCGTCAGCTGCGTCGCCTGCTCTGGCAGTGGGCAGGGCGTTCGGGGGCAGGGACTGGGTGGCTACTGCGACATGTGTGTGTTTGCGTGCATGTGCGTGTGTGTGAGTGTGTGTGTGTGTGCACGCCACTTGAGGCTAATAACAACAAGAAACGAAGAGCCGAAACCAGAGCAGCGCGCGAGCGAGTCGATTGCAATTCAGCTTCTGGCCAGGAGCCCGAGCCCGAGCCAAGAGAAAGCTTCGCTATTGCCGCTATTGCCGCTATCAACGCAGCACAGTTGCACCAAAGAGAGCCAGAGAGCGGGAGAGAGAAGAAAAGAGTTATATGGGCTCTCTTAAGCATTATGCGGAAGTGTGCAAGAAGAGCGAGTCAGCGAGGGTAAAGCTGAGAGAGAGTCAAGCAAGGGGGAGGGGGGATGGCTGCGCCCACATAACGGTCAATGCGGCTTAGCATGAAAATCGCATGCAATAATATTAGTCTTACGCCATGCTCTTGCTCAGGCCCAACATATCGTGGGGTGGGAGGGGTCGACTGCTAGGGGTTGCTTTCCATTCGAAAGACCATAGAAGTAGCACGTAATGTCGCAATGCTGACGGGGTGACCGTTTGCATGATTACAGTGAACACACAATAAGCGAAATAATAGAGCTTTGAATCTTAAATGCTGGAATACAAAAGTAAAATGGAATACAAGAGTTAACAGAAGTTCTTCTTTTTCTTAAAAGAAATAATAGGTTAATTATTCCCGATTTATAATTTTTTTTTTAAATTTTGGGATTCGTTAAATTTATATTATTAATAAGCAATATTTGAAATAATTAAAAGTCTTTAAATTTATGGTTGTTTTTCTCTCGACAAGTTAGAAGTCCATAATTGGCTGTAATATTATTTCACTGCAACATTTATCTTTTCTTTTATAGCCAATAGCTATTGTAATTTTCAAACGATTTTACCCGTTAGGAATTCCGAATGCCAGCTGGTCACCTTTGGGCAGCGGACAGTAGCCCCATCTCTTTCAGACTCTTGGTGTCTCTTACTATTTCTCTTTTACTTCGCCATCTCTCTCTTCCTCTCTGTCACTCTCTCACTCTCTGAAACCTAGGGGTAGCTGCTTACCCTTTGAGCCGAATGTAACATTGTCTATCGAGCACGCTCTCGCATGCGATACGGCCGTCATGTGGGCTGTGGACAGAGTCGGACATGCAACAACAGGTTTGAGGTTGGCTGCAACAGCAACGCAGCAGCAACATGTTGCAGCATTATGTCAATAGCATTGCCAGCAGTGGCGTGGCAGTTGGCATTGGCATTGGACTGGGACAGGATCATCGATGCAGCCACAATGCGCTGATTGCTCACGCGATGCCCGCACACACGCACAACTGCAGGGGGAGGGGGGAGGAGAGTGGGCCTCCGAGTACAATCGGCTATGCATATATAGGTGTTTTGTGATATATTGACAGCATTACGAGTGCGATAGCTGCGTGTCATTAATCATAGATCTTTAGCCCGAACATGCGCTATTCATTTGAGCAGCACAAACAAAAGTCTGCCGGCTTAATGGTGTGAACACGTAGCGGAGAGTAACAAATTGGCGAAACGAAACCACAAGCACAGCCACCAGCCCAACCACTGTTGACCACGGGCC